ATATATATATATATATATATATATATATATATATATATATATATATATATACACAAAGGCGCGCACGCACGCACGAGCATAAGACGTGGCCGATACGAGTTTCTCCCTTTACGCAAAGAACGAAAAGGGAGAACTAAATGGCAAATGAGGGTTGTACGGTGAGAGTTAGTTGTCGGCCAGATAGATAGATAGAGAGAAAGAGAGGGGGGAGAGGGAGAGAGAGAGAAAAGAGAGTTCGCTTCAAGAAAAGCTTGACAGCTCGTACTTTTTGCCCTCAAAGTTTCTGAATGGCGGCGTCCTAAGAATATCTCTCTACGAAGGAGGACGAGGGGTTGGCTCGTCGACGAGAGGGGCGCGCAACGTCGGAAGCCGGCGGGTGGATCGCTCTCTGTGCGAAGCAAACGGCAGCTCCCTTGTGCCGGATCTGCCATTTGCGAGCGCGTTCGCCCATCTTTAATGTCACGGACTCAATACGAGAAATAGACGGATCTTATGTAGCGACATTTTGATGAAGCGCTTGCTTCGCGATTACCGCCGGCGAGCGCCGTAGAGGAAAGTCGTTGCCGTGTTATGTCGCTTCAAACCGACTTGTTACGCTGATTAAGTGTCCTCAAAGTGTTTCCGTTGTGTTGCCAGGCAGCTCGCGCTACGTGTCCTACGAGCCCTCAAAATTTGTCGTCGGCTATTGTGCGCGCTTGTGACTGATACTCTGGCCTTTTCTTAATTTTTCCATTTAGAGCAGAGCTCTCCTTTGAAGCGTCTCTCACACTCCCGTCTGCGTTTCGACTTGTAAGAAGAGGATGTTAATTTGTGAGATACAAGATGCAGGAGTTCATTTGTATTCATGGGAAATTTATACAAACTTCGCATTACTTGAATATCATATATATTACATAAAAAGAAAAAAGAAGAGAGAGACAAGCTATTCCTACGATATTTTATTCATTACATTTAATGAACATGTAAATTAATAAAATAAGGAGCGAGGAGTATGGATGTAAGCGGCGCACGCGATGCATATAAACACACACACACACACACACACACACACACACACACACACACACACATATATATATATATATATATATATATACATATATGCATATACAATCTGTGTAAATTTAGCTATATTCCGTAGAATGCACGTAGATCGTAGATTGTGTACGTTTGTGAGGGGAAGTTCATTCGCGTGCACACGCGCTCGCTCGAACGTCATGGACCCGATGCGAGAAATAGACACGATATACAGTATACGGTATCGCAGCGCAGTTCGTGTTTAGATGTTAGGCTACGTAGGACGGCGCTATCGTGGATTATACGTATCCCTTTATTTGTGGATAAACTGGCGCGGGCGTATGTACAGACGGTTCAGTCCGGATTCATCTCGTCCACGAACGAGATTCGCGTAATCTTATGTACACTGAAAGATACACCACGACACGGTGTACGTACCGGCGAGTAGTGCGTAGAGCACCAACGGCGCGTTATCCCGTTCCATGGGAATACTAAAGAGTTCCTAATTGAATGGCTTATTTTGTGCTCGGTGCGCGCGAGTACCGCGAGATTAATTTTACGAGCGAGCGCGCGAAAGACTGCGCGCAGGGGAGATACTTTTGTGCTGCACTGCACGGCCCGTGGTATCCATTTACGGTTTTCGCGATACCTTATCTCTTCGTTTATTTCGAGCGGAGTTTGATTCGAATTACAGTCTTAATTCTCTAATCTGGTACATTGGAGTCATTTTCGACTGCGCTTAATTTTTTATTTTTATTTTTAATTGTCAGCTAACTTCGGTTTAAGCGCTAAAAACGTTATAGCCGATAAAAATACAAAGTTTAAACACTGTCGAGATATTAAGAAGTGACAAAGTATAAAGTAAAGATGATTTTTCGTTGTTTCTCGAATCTTTACATTAAATATAATATATAAGAAAAGTTTTATGCGAGTAGAGCTTACTTATTTTTAGCTGTGATTAAAGTTTCATTGTTCATCAATCACCGAACAAAAAAGAAGATTCAAGTATAGTTAATCTTTGTAATAATTTCAATAAAATCCGTATTATATAATAGATTAATATGCCGCAAAAACTTGAAACTATTAATGATTTTATTCGTCTCTTGACTGAAAAAATAATGTGTTTCTATATATAAAAATAATCATACGTTTTGGCAAATTGAGATATGTAATATTTTGTTCCTTTTTTCTTAGAAGTTCAAATATTGACAAGGAAGTCGTAAAATGTCAGTTTCTTAAATACATTTTCAGAAAAATTATAAATTTTTATATAAATTTTTATGTGTTCTCATCGTGTATCTTTTCATATTTACAATAAAATATTTAAGTTGATATTTGTGATTATTTCTGTACAGAATTCTATGTTACAAACATGAAAAATACATTTATTTTTTTTTTATTTTAATCAGCACTTTGTGGAATGTAAAAAAACTGAGGGCAGGAACAACCCTAGTGTGTCAGATTAAGATGCCCAAAACATATGTGTCATATGAGGGTTAATAATACGAGATATGCGATACAATGTGTCTGGAAAGAAAGATGATTCGACGAAGAATTCTTCCGCGAAGAATTATCTGAGGTCGCGTAAACAAAATGAAGAGTTACTTTTCAGTAACGGAGATTTATGAGAAAGCACGATGATATCCAGTCGTATGTTCGCGCTAGAACAATTTGAAATTCGCCGATGAAGATTGTAACCGTGCAGATGAGCGAGCCCGCATTATTGCCGGCGTTTGGAGCAGACTTTAATCCGGCGCGCGACGTGCTCGCGGATTAAATCGAAGGTTCGTACGGTGTAACCGCGTAGCAACATATACTTCCCAGTGTGTCCGATAAATACGATCCCCGGTGAGAGCGTGCGCGCGCGCGCAGCGCGTTCCGAGAGCGAAAGATTTATTTTCACCGCACATTCTGAAATGATGACCTTTTACGCTGGATTTCGCCCCGCGCGCGTTACGTAGGAAAGATACAAATCACTTCTGGACGTTTGGCGGTTACGAACGGACAGCGTATCCTACCGTATACACTCGCGGATTCATCGAGCACGCGTTCTCTTCACAAGTAAATTCCGTCGACACATCTCGGACAATACGAGAGAGAGAGAGAGAGAGAGAGAGAGAGAGAGAGTTCTTTGCGAATGACACGCCCGTCGGTAACTCGCGAACGAATTTCTTTTTGCAGCCGACAGGGACAGGAATAGCCATTTTGCCGTTTAAATATAATTACTCCCGTGAATGGCAGCTCGCGATGGAACGCTCCCGTTGATGGAAAGTTACACGGAGCTGGCGCATAATGCATTAAGTGTACACGCCATTCTGCGCGAAATGTAGATATTTGCGTAATGACGGCTTACAAGCGGCTTATACATTGTTTGTTCTTGCAATTCTACTATTTGCCAGCTTGCGCGCGCGATACACTTTACGACCGTCCGCGCTCGTAACTCCGATTTCGAGTATGCGGCGTCAACGCGCACTTCGTTATCGCGCCACGATGGCACCACAGTTTCAATTCGGCGTTTTGTTGTCCACCAAAGTTGACTACTTCAGGAAGGAAGGGAAGATCAATTCTGTTAAGTAACGTTATTAACTGCGACTCGGACGAAATTATGGATCATGTCGGACGGACTTATTCCGAAAGGGAGAAGTCACACGGATGTAATGAAAAATCTATGTCAATGTCCGAGCAGAAAACTCCGAAATGATGACTGGTGTGAACATTTCGTTTTTCTTCTTTTTTCTCAGGGGATACCGCACCTGTGCGTTATCTGTCCGTGAAAGGTCTCCTCCCGGATACAACCGGCTACATGACCTACGAGGGCAGCACGACGCATCCCGGTTGTTGGGAGACGGCCGTCTGGTTAATCCTCAATAAACCGATTTACATCACAGCGCGAGAGGTAACTATTGATAATACGCAGAAGTCGCACTCGATTTTTTTCTCTCCCTCTCTCTCTCTCTCTCTCTCTCTCTCTCTCTCTCTCTCTCTCTCTCTCTCTGTCTCTCTCTCCTCTCAGAGTCTATTTCCCGTTCTATTTTTTTACGCGCGTACAAAATTACCGTCCGGCCAAAGAGTCGGAAGAGCGGAGGAGCGAATCGCCGAAGATGAAACGAACAGTTAGACATGAATAGATAGTAGACTAATATGGCAGGCGCAGAGATGGTTCTATACTGTCGCGAACGAATCAACGCGGATCGTCATACTCACGATACGCTATTTCTGTTATTAGCTGTACGTCCTAAGGAGACTAATGCAGGGCCCTTCCAATGCTCCGAAAGCACCACTCGGTAACAATTCCAGACCGCTGCAGGGTCTTCATTATAGAACTGTACGAACAAATATCGATTTTGCGAAGGTAATATAACGATACCGCGACATTTGATGTATGGCGCGAAGAATGCGGGGTCAATCAAGGTAACTGACGCGCTGCGCGATAAACGTGACACGGCTGATGTATATTTGCATTTCCACTACAGCGAGAGTATCCTAAATGGAGTGGAAAGGACTCTTTTTTTATTTAATGAATATTTCATCCCAAGATCAGCCAACGCGCGCGTGCGCGTTACTATTCGGCAGCTACATGTAGCAGACGGAAATTAATCGATGTCTCTCTATAAATTCGAAATAGAGAGCCGCGGTAGCGAATCGCACTAGTAATCGACACGTCGCTCCTACAGTGCCTCGGCCTCTGATACAGTTATGTCGGACGAATCTCACTGCGAGATGCGAAGTAATTAAATCCAGGCCGACGCCTGAATAGCTCATTACGAAATATTCGTGTCACAAATACCTCGATTGACCGTAAAGGATCGCCGGAACCGTATCGATTATTACTCCCACACGACGACCGCAACTCCAATGATCCTTCTCTGTTCGACAGCGGGGAAACGCCAAGTGCCCGTCGATGGCGCAGGATATGCATTATAGAGGTAACACACGATATTAGCCAGGCTCCAGGAGCCATCGAATTCCGCGCTTCACCGCGAGGGGATCGTCTCGTTGAGAATCTGAAAAGATGACTTTTTCCTTCCAGCCAACACGTGGCGGGATGACAGTTCCCTATCGCACAACGTAGTCTGAAGATCGGCGGCAGCGCGGAAGGACCACGAGAGAAGACTTTTTTCCAAAGGTGCGGGGACAACGCGAGTTCGCGTGATGCGACGGAGACGCAGAGCCACGGCGGAGTAGCTAAATTCGAACGGAGAAACGCAGAACTCGCTGTACCGGGAGCTCGATTCACAGCCATCGAGTGGCTGTGTGTGTGTGTATGTGAGAAGAACAGAAAAAAGGCAAGAAAAAAAGGACATTGCATCCCGAACGCTTGTAAACTAAACGCGAAGTCCTTTGTCGAGCTCCCATGGCGATTCGTGTGTCTCGAACCGAACGAGTAAGTGTAACGGAACCGTCGCGCCGTGAAGGAGAGATTGTGCGTTTTATTTGTAGATAAGTTCGTTGCGCATCGATCGGCTTTTGGGTTATATCGTTCGGAGCGAGATCGAGATTGTGTTTAAGGCCATACCGTCGCGCTGATGCGTGATACGAGAATGTGACGGGAAAGGGGAGCTCCAGGATCTCGATGACATTTCGGGATCTTTCGTTTTGAGGCTTTCGTTGAGTTTGAGCAATGTAACGATTATCAGGGATGGGCATAATTTCAAGTAATATATACATATACGTATCACGGTGACCGCAATCTGATTTTGTAAAACGGACAATAGCATTCCCAGCAGGCGAATGTTCCTATAGAGCGAAGAGCTAGGCGTTGTCTCTTAAGAGTACTCTCTTTCTCAAAAGAGTCCTGCCCATTGCTGGTAATAATTGCTCGCACGCACGCACGATCGTTCTGTTTTCATGTGAGAAAGTTTCGAGAGTAAAAGACGCCTGCTTTGAGCAATTAATCCCGCTGGCAAGCCTCGCGAATCGATCGAGTTATTTGGCAGGTTTTCCGTCAATTATTTCATAGCCAATGGCGATACAATGTGAACGATGTAAAGCGAAAATCGTTACGTAACGGGGAAGCAGGGGGGAAAATGGGATGAGAGAAATGAAGCGGAAGCGCGGGAAGAAGCGAGAAACGATCGTGATGGATCTCAGGAGAAGATACAGAAGAAGAAATAGCTAGGTATCGCGGAGGAGGTGGTGGAGAAGGAAGAGGGGGCAGTGCAATTTCGTAATAGCTCTGGGATAGAGAGGAGTAGGATAATAAAGAAGGAATGGTTCGGAGGAGGAAGAGATTAGGATGAAGTCATGTGGTAGATCAACCGCGCGGAAAAGAACGCTGGCTCTCGGTTAGCTTGGCCGATGGACGAATAATCCCCGGCGCTTTTGTATATAAAACACAGATACAAAAAATGTACACGAACAAACATTACCTAATAGATGTAAGCAGCGAGAGAGAAGAATGGAAACTCTTTTAGGGAGGCAAAAGCGTGTGTATAGAGAATAAAGTTGTATCATATGAAAGTGAACGTTTAACGATTGTGGTTAATAAATAACGATAATAATAAAGGCGACGTTATATTGTACAGCAACTACGGTCGCTGTGTTTCTCTATTTCTCTCTCTTTCTCTCTGTCTTTCTTCCTCTTTCTCTCTCTCTCTCTATCTATCTATCTATCTATCCCATAATCTGCTTTGCACGTGCTTATTCGTTACGATCGCGATCGTACGGTGTTAGTTTCTTGCTGTCACGCCTGTTCGTCGCGTTCTGTCCTTCAACGGCGACATTTTGCGTTTTATCAAATGTGCAAGTCACCCTTTCACAGAGTCACTCGCACACGTAATATACGCGGAGCTGACTATATCGAAGCTGTAAATTAATAAATTCCAATAACCCGCTAATTTCCAAGCCTGAGTCACTCGGGAGAGTTCGTTTCTCGGTGTCTCTCTCCCTCTTCTGTCGCGAAGTTAGGCATTACAAATTTCTTCGTCGACGTGCGTCAAGGGTAAAGTTCCAACGATGCTCTCGCGGAAGTTTCGCCCGCTTGAGCATCGGGACTACACGGCGATCCAAAAATTCGAGCACGCTGACAAATTATCCGGACAAAACTGGGTTGAACACTGGCCCGAAGTTCACGCCACGGCCTGCGAGACCACGTTTCATCCTTAATTAATTATCCGCCGCGGAGTAAGGCAACTTTCGCGGGATGCACCTCTCTCACGAGAGACGAAGGTAAGTGGATTCTATTTTACCAATTTGCGGAATAATTTATACGCGTGACAAACTGATCCGCGTCGCTGAAGAGCGCTGTTTTTCACTGCCTGACGCTACGCTGGGGCGCGTTGGGCTTTCGTGCACGGTGACGCGATCGCGATTTAATTCACGATCGAGGTGAGAAGGACGCGAGCGAACGGCGGCTGCATGCGATGCACATAGCTTAACGGGGTCACTGAGTATGTAATTTGACTCAATGCGCGGCCAATAATTCGCCGCTTGCTCTTTGAATGCGAGTGTGAATAACGTAATTACGTCGCTTAAATGATTATGCGGAAATTCGTCCTCTTGGCAACACGCTGCGGGAAAGAAGGGCGACTTGTGTGGGTATGTGAGTACACAGCGTGTATAATCCAATTATGATTACATTTGAAATAACTCGAGTTCGCGATATGTTCCTATAATGCGCTGATAACACTGGTATCTAACACTGGACATTTTTATCGTTTTTTGGTCTTTTAGACTCCTGATTTCTCGCTTAAACTCTCGCTTGATGACGTCAAAAGCGAGGAAATGCATGCTCAAAACTCCTGCAAACTATTCGAAATTTAAAAAAATAAAAAAAATAACGCTTCGCAATTGATTACAACACGTCACTAAAATACTACGAACGCCTTGCTTTTGCTCCAACAATCAATAAATAACCGTAAAATTAACGTGACACGTAGCTTTTTTCTAACCTGACCTAACATTTCCTCATTAGTTAATTTTACGGTTATTTATTGATTGTTAAAACAAAAGAAAAGTGTTTTGGAGTACTTTGTGAAAAGTGAAGAGGAAGTGTCCTTGATCGATTGCAAATATCATTTTTTGGTTATATCTTTTTATTTTCACGTATTTTGCAGGAATTTCCGTCATACGTTCTCTTACTTCCGATAACGTAAATCAAGATGGCCGTGGCGAAGAATCCTTAAATACGAATATTTAAATTTTCAATACACAGAATGTATATACATACATTGAATAGGGTAGACCGAGGCGAATCGAATCAATATAAGCTCTAAGATAGTTATTGTTAATATTTTGCTTTAACAGTTAGTAACTGACATGATAAAACAACTCATTTAAAACAAAATATTAACATTAACTTAGACTTATTAACAATATCTTAGAGCTTATATTGATTCGATTCACCCTGTGATTCGATTTGCCTTAGTCTACCCTTATCATATATTTCCTATGTTAAAAGTCTTAATATTCGAATTTAAAATCTAAAACAGTAAGAATGTTCAAAGTTAGGTGCCAATGATATTAGTGTCGAAGTATTGGTACTTTACCTTATGTGCAAAACTAAACGACGGATTGTAGAATCTCGTGTCTTTTTTTTTTGTTATCTAACGCAGAAGCATCGAATCTCTTTCACCAAATCTCCGCATTTCTGTTCAAGAATCAGCGGAAAGTCTCGGAACATTTTCCATGCAGCGCACGCTGCAATCATCATACAATCGCTGCCTCATCCGCTGGTTTGTTGCTTCGACTATGCGAGCGATTTTTCGACCAAACGTTCTCGCAACGATTTTCCTACGATATCGTACCATCGTGCTCGCGCGGGGCAGCTCTAAACGAACGCAACGAATTTAAAGCACGGGAGATCGGCGGGGAATGTGCTGAGTAGCTGGCTCGTCGTGCTGAGAGTAGGTAAGAGGATGCAGCGAGATATGCTTACCGAGCTCAAAGTCCTTTGAGGGTAGAAGAAGGGCGAATAAAGAAAGTGGAAGAAAGGAGAAGAGCCAGGCCACATGGCGTTCTCTCGATTGAAGAGGCAGCCGAGGGAGAGGAGAGTCCTTGCACTCTTTTATGGAAATTAAGGACGTGATTTCGGATTCCCACGAGTACAAGTCTCATCCCCTGCACCCTCTCGCTCTCCTTCTGTCGAACTCTCTAAGGCCACTTCGTGACGGTACACACGCGGCAGTATTCCCGTTTACAGACTCCGCTACGTACAACGCGCGCGCGCGCGCGTATTGCGTTACACGCTGCGCGATATCGCTAGGTGGTTTTGCAGAGTCTGTACATCGACGCACCCCCCACAGAGCTACATTGATATATTCTATATATCTAATACAGTACAGGCTACGTGTCGTAACCGAGGAGACTACTTCCGCTTCGTTCCTTGGCTTCTTTGATCGTTCAAATCGATTTCCCATGACGAAAATCCGATATGGTTCCTCCTCTTCGTTCCGAAGTACGAGATACTTGGTCCGAAAACTTATTCCTCGAATATTTACGCCACATACGATAAATCTCGGGAGGACGGGGGGAAGAGGAAAATAGCGCAGCCGTGTTTGCGCTAAGTTACTACATCGCGAAGCGTGATATTGATTAATAATAAATATTTCTTGCTAATAAAAGTTTTATAGAGAACTATATAAAATACATCCAGAACGCACACGTACGAGATATATAAATTTACTATTCGCCTCTGTGTTTCGCATTGTCGTGAACATGTGTGTGCGTTCGTGTGCGCACGCGCGCGCGCGTATTTTGCATAACCTACATTGGATTCGAAGGATCGAACTCGGGCGAAACACGCCAGATCTAAATATGAACCAATTTCCTTGAAGCTTAGAGCGCGGCGTATTGACGAGACGCGTATCGAACACGTACAGTGCCAATTTAATCAGATGTTTCCTTCCGCTCGATATGAAGCGCCGGCCGTTGAACCACATTCGGTTCAACGGAACGGAAGTTAGGAAATAATAACCAAAAGTTGAATGCAGGTTCATTTGGCTGCAAACCGCTTTAGCGCGCATGCAACGGCGATTGCGGCGTTCCCGCGATCGCTGTTTCCCGAACGCGGAGAGAAAGCGGCTCGAAATTACTGCTCGCGCACTTAAGGCTTCTGGAACTCTCGATTAATGACGTCAGAGGATGTCGAAAACACATGCTCAAAATACTTTCAAGATACACTGAAATAAGGGAGTAAAGTAATCCTTAGGATCTCGATCAAGAGATACGTTTGTAAAATGTTCCGGAAACCTTCTTTTCGCTTCAACGATCAATGAATAACCGAGATATACGAATATACGTAAAGGCTCTCCGTAGAAATAATCTGAAGTGAAGAGAGCACGATCTGTAAGTAGATTAATCACAGTTCTTTGGTGCGACTGCCAAATTCACGGGAATTATTCACGGGAGAATCTCGTTCTTTTTTTTCAAGCAAGTCGGACATATGCGCAGAGTTATCCTTCGTCTTTATTTCAAACGTACACGGTGATCCTGCCTAGCTAATTTAAAATATCCTTTATTCCCAATTAAGTCGGTATTAAATTTTCTTTCCCTTATTTCATAGTAAACTAACTATTGATTGACTTATTAATTGATTCCGCTTTATCACACTAAATATTTTTCATCATTTTTAATAACCGCTTACACACACATACATATAGTTATCACTCATTATAACATATTATTTTTAATAAGGTATAATTACTGTTATTGATCATTCAATAAATAACCGTCGAATTAATATAACATGCAACTTTCTAGTCTACTTTACCTCGTAATTTCGTCACGTTAATGTTAGTGGCTGACTTCTTGATTGTTAGGGTAAAAATGAAAGGAATATTTTACAAAGCGCTCAATCGATCACAAGTGTCACTTTATAAATATAATCATTTATTTTGACATATTCCGTAATATTTCGAGCGTACGTTTTCTAACTCTTCTGACGTCATTAATCAAGATAGCTGCGACGAGGGCACGAGTCTCAAATACGTGTAAGATGTGTACGTATACGCCGCTAACAATCGTTAGATAGGAACTCTTGGAAGACAAATCTGAGGTATCATGCTCTCGATGAAATTTCTGCTAATTACACTCTTCGATTGGCCAAGGCGACGCCGTATTCTCGGAACTTCCGAGCGAGCGGCTGTAAAAATTAAGCGCGGCCGTATTATTAAGGCGAGATCGATCCCCTCACTCGTGATTCGACGAATAACGGGCAGTCGCGCCGCATCGCCGAGACTGCGGCGGTATCGCGGATCAATTCGCCGTAAACGGAAGACTTTAATTCGCGACGGAAGAGCGTGAAGATAGAAAGACGGAAAATCCAGGTTAGCGGGCTGTAGGGGGCGTGGGCGGTAGATGGTTCGAAAAAGATAACCGGAGGCAGTGGTGACGTTAAAACTTATCGTCGCTTTCCTTTATGCCTGCCGCCGATAGATGAGACCCGGAACGGCGTGAGAAGAGAGAAAGGGAGGCGAAGGAAAATCGGGAAACTATATTTCGGCCGTAGGTCGGCCACGTGCAGCCGGCTGGCGGGCCAGAAGCTGGCGGATGGAGGCGGCGGCAGAGGCGTAGAGGAG